CGGCCTCAGCCTCCCAAAGTGCTGGCATTACAGGCGTGAGCCCCCACACATGGCCTGTTGATCATCTTTTCATGTGCTGATTTGGCCTCCACATAAGCTCTTGGCAAAATGTCTTCTCATGCCTTTTGCTCATTTTCTAATTGGATTGGCTTTTGTTGTTGCTTCTGTCGAGTTTCGAGGATTTTTAAAGATATATTCTAGATCCCAGTCCTTTATTAGATATGTAATTTGCAAATATTTTCTCCTAATTTGTAATTTTTGCCTTTTCATTTTAACAGTCTTTTTCAGAGCAAGTGTTTTTAAGTTTGATGGAGGTTTAATTGATTAGTTTTTCTTCTTATGGATTGTGCTTTTTTTGTCAAGTCCAAGAACTCTTTGCCTGCCCTAGATCTTGAAATTGTCTTCCATGCTTTTTTCTAAAAAGTTTTACTGTTTTATATTTAAGTTCATGATCCATTTTGAATTAACTTTGGTATAAAGTCTGAGACTTAGGTTAAGGTTCTTTTTTTGCCTAAAAATGTGCAATTGCTCCAGCACCATTTGTCTTAAAAACTGCCTTTCCTCCACTGAATTCCTTTTGCACTTTTGTCAAAAATAAGTTGGGCATATTCGCAAAGGTCTATTTTTGGGTTCTCTGCTCTGCTCTGTCGATCTATGTGTCCATCCTTCTGCCAATACCATAGAGTCTGGATCACCGCAGCTATGTAATGAGTCTTGAACTTATGTAGACTGACTCCTTCCACTTTATTCTTTTTCCCAAATTGTTTTATCTATTCTAGTTGCTTTGCTCTTTCACATTTTAGAATAATTTTATCTATCTCTACAAAAAAATCTTGTGAGATTTTGATGGAAACTGCACTGAATCTGTATATGAATTCGGAGAGAATCGACATTTTTACAATATTGAGTCTTCCTGTCCATGGATACAGTATGTTTCTCCACTGATTTGCTATTCTTCAGTTTCTTTCTTTGGCATTTTGTAATTGTCAGCCGTTCTTTTGCTCCACCATGAACTAATTGTGTGGCCTTGGACATTAGACTTTCAGGCCTTCAGTTCTCTTTCTGTAAAATGCATCTAATAACACCTACCTTGAAATGCCATGGGAAAGGTCAAATAAGACAGTGCATGAGCAGTGCCCCATGGAAGGCATCAAGACACAGTTCCCTTCATCTGGGTCTCTCGTCTGTTCTTTCTTTCCTCCTCCTCAACTTCCATTCTGGTGCCCACATCCAATTACACTTCTCTTCACTTCATCTTTCCTTGTCATCCTTTGCTTTTTTTAAAATTCTTCTTTCATTCTCAACTCCTTACTCTAATTTTCCTCTTTCTTTCTTTCTGAGACAGTCTTGCTCTGTCGCTCAGGCTGGAGTACAGTGGCACAATCTCAGCTCACTGCCAACCTCTGCCACCTGAGTTTAATCGATTCTCATGCCTCAGCCTCCCGAGTAGCTGTGACTACAGGTGTGCACCACCACACCCGGCTAATTTTTTTGTATTTTTAGTAGAGACGGGGTTTCATCGGGTTGGCCAGCCTGTTCTCCAACTCCTGACCTCAGATGATTCACCTGCCTCGGCCTCCCAGTGTGTTGAGATTACAGGCATGGGCCACTGTGCCAGGCCTTTCCTATTTCTTTCACTTTGTTATTCTCTATTTCTCCCTGGATTTTTCTGTTTCATTTCTTCTCCCATGATATTTTTCTCTCTCTTTTTTCTTGGATCATTTAAGCATTCCATTTTTGTGGAGTTGCTCAGACATTGAGTGTGACTCAAGGGCCACTCAGCCTGTGTTCAAATCCAGACCAACCACTTACTAGACTCAGAGCAATTGACTCACACTCCTGTGCCTCAGTTTTCTCATCTATAAAATGGGAAGAACAGTATCAGACCTTTTCTGAAATGATTAAATGAGTTTATGCATGTAAAGCACTTGGAATAAAATTGGGTATATGGTACAGCCCTCGTACATAGCTATAATTATCGGGATTATACCTGTTATGTCCAGTTTCCCTGGCTCTTTCTCACTGGTTCATTTACCTTCCCTCACCGTCTCATTTTTTCACTTCTATATGAAGATATTCAAATTCACATTATCTTGCTTTCAGGCTGTCTTCTCTGCGCATCTTCTCCTACCTCATATTCCCTAATCATCACTAACAAATTGGCACCAGCCCAGGAAATCTGTCCCTTGGGCTGTAGAGAGGAAACAAGTGGTTTTTCATTTTGATTTAATTATTAATCTCCTTTATTATTTAATGTGGAATACATACAGTGTAGGGTTACAATGCAGAACATGGATTATCACTGTGCCGCTCACTTTCAAAGAGATGGCAGGCTTAAAAAGGAAAAGTACCAGACAGACAAAAACAAATGTGGGGAAAAAGCAAAATTAATTAATTTGATTTCCGTGTCCTTTTTATGGGCATGATTTTTCATACATCTTCTGTGGGATCCAGGAGGGTGCGTGTGGATTTTGCAAGTAAGCCACAGCTCGGTATTAACGAGAAGAGGTATAAGGAAGGGCGAGTGATTCACAGTGGCTCACCAGGCAAGACAGAAAAATACTTTCCCAAGCTGGCAGGTGGGGAAGTTCAGTCACAAGCTCACAGGCCTGCCCCATAGGTTCACTGTTCAATAATGGGCTTCATCTGTGATGCTAAGTTACTTGAAAGGCACTCACCTGACACTAAGCCTTTCAAATCCATATTCCATACCTTGAATCAGGCCTAATATCTACCCTTTTAAACATTTCTGAATATATTTAGACTCACTTAGATATGGTAGACATGGGGATATTTTAAATACCATCAGAATGGTCTTTTTGTTTCTGTATTTTCTCCAAAGAATTGAACTCCCCAAGCAAAACGCCAGACCTGCCTGCTCTCCCTTCAGACTAGAATTCTGTCTTCCTTTAAAAATCCTGACATGAAACACCATTTAATCCTTCCCTCTCTGCCTTTTTGTGTTTATGGTGACCTCTCAGTATTTTGGTTTTTTTAATGACAAAGGAGCCATGGAATTAGTCCACAGCACTTCCAGGGTACATGTTTCTCCCTAGATATCAGGAAATAATGCATGAGGCTTTATTACATCCTTAGAGTTGTGGTGGGGAATCCTCCATGGATGGAGTCTAAATGAGCAGCCGATTCTCCCCCACCGGTCTGGATTACCCGAGGCTCTGCAGGCTCCAAACGCACCTTCTGTTGCCCCATTTGGCACCGCGACGGCCCCTCTTTGCTGTGCAGCCAGAAGTCAGGGTCACCTGGCAGACCTATTGCTAAGTCTTTCAATGTTTATGTTACATAAACTTCACAGTCGGTGTTTCTGCGTCTACAATGCCAGAATCCTGGGAGTGAGTTAACCCGAATTTGTGTGCCCTCTGGCAAGCCCAACTATCCAACTATTAACGGGGACTAAAGTGATGGGACTCTTATGAGCCAACACGGTAGTTGAAAAAGCCCAATAGACATGTAAGCTGCCATTATTATTCCATGATAATAAACCCACATACTAGGAAGACCAGGATTATTTCAGACCTCATATCTGCTCTTAACCTACACCAATCCAGTCCAGGGGGGCCAAGTACCTAACGCCAGTATTTGGTAGGGTAGAATTTTTCTTGATAAAATGGCAGACATGTCATGAACATTAGGATTCCATGAATATTTCTATTTTGTATATAGGAAGGAGACGCAAGGTGGGAACCTATAAAGGAACATGTGATGTGGAGCAGAGGATGTGGCCAGGGGAGTCAGGGTTATGATTCAGAACCAAGGTCGCTGGACTCCAATGGGTGCGCAGTAGAAGGGAGGGAAAGTTTGTGTTCTGAAGTCAGGCCGCTCTCAGTTCAAACCCAGGTTCTGCTGCTTGCAAGCCATGTGGTCTGAAGCAAGTTCCCGCCCTGCTCTAAATCTCAGTCTCCTGATCTGAATAATGGACACATTACACTTACTCCACAGTGTTGCTGAGCTGACAAAGTGCATTAACACACGTAAGGCATCTGGTTCAGAGTAGCACATGCGCGCGTGCGCGCGCACACACACACACACACACACACACACACACACACTTCACTTCCAGAGCTATTCTGCAAAGAAAAACCAAAAGGCAGTACAAGCTGCTGCAGGCAAAGAATTGATGTGTTGAAGACAAAAGCAGAAGAGTGCAAAGGCCATGGAGAATGTGGCACAGATGGGAAAGATGCTCCTAAAGAGCTTGTCCTGGTCAGGGTGTCTCCAAGCAAAACAGGGACAACTGAGTGACTCTGGGAGCAACATCAGTCCTGCATCCTTGTCTCCACCTTGACTTTGTTCTCAACAATAATCTCACCCATGCGGTGAGCTACCCTTTGAGGGACAGAGGCAGCCCAGGAGACACAGGATGCGCTGAGAGAGGGAGACCTGGGCGCCAGGGACAGCTCCCCAGGGACGGTTGGTCTGAGCAAGGCCGATGCAGCGGAGCCCCTCACCCACCTGAGATGCCTCATCTGCCTTCCCAGCAGCTCCCTTCTGCAGAGCCCTTAGCAGCTTGGCAATCAGAGAACATTGTGTGCAGGGACAGCTCCATGGGGATGAAGTGTCCCATCTGACACAGACTGTTCCGAGATCCATGCTGTCCCCGGCTCTGCCATTTCACTGAAAGCCCCTCATCCTGCTCCTGACACTCAGTCCCCATGCACAGCCACCAGAGACTCTAGCCACTCTGGAGAGTAGAGGAGCCCTTTCTGGGGTATTCTGCTTAAAGCAGAGGTGAGGGAGCTGTGGATGCCAGAGCCCTTGGGAGCCTGTGACAGCCAGGAGAATCCTGGGTATAAAAATCAGCATCTGCGGTCTCATTCCACTCTTTTCACACAGCTCTCCAGTCCTTTCCATGATGCCTTGAAAAGGAATCAGCATCCATTATATCGGCGCCAGGAACCAGCTCAGGAGGCCACCTGACCCCCTTCCTGTCCCTCCAGCCCTCCTCTGGAAGGACTCACAGTGCTTGCAGTCAGAAATCTCTCCCCATTGAGAACCATATCTACTGCTGGTGAACTGGAGGATTATTGCTATTGCCCAAGACGTTGTTCTCTGCAGCAGGTTGGCACAGGGTGCCAGTTACGGAGGAGAAGGCAGCGAGGAACCCCACACTTGTAGAAATGGGGATGTCATAGCAGCCATCCGCATGGTGGAGGGGGCTGGGGAGCACAAGGCTGTGGGCAAGGAGACAGGGCTAGTTAGGGCCATGGGAACCAGACTGGTGGGCACTGAGGGAGCAACCCAAGCTGCCCTCTCTACTCTCACAGGCCTTGCAAATTGACTTCTCCTCCTCCTGCCACACCTCCTGCCTGCATCGTCCTGAGGACTGACAGGCACGGTTTGTGGCAGACCTGTTAGTGCAAACAGGAAGGCTGTGAGGAGAATGGAGGGGCACTCCCACAATTCCCAACCCCACTCTCAGCCCAACTCACAATGCAGCCCAACCTGTCCATGGGAGGAAAAGGCCTCTCCGACTCCCTAGCCCAGAAATACAAACAAACTGGCAGCTGGCAGACTGACTCTGACCCACGCATACATTTGCTATGGCTTGCTCCCTTTTTCAAAAATTGTTGAATTAGTGGTCAACACGGAAAAAAAGAAATTTAATATTCAAAAGTTTCATTTCTGGCTTTTCTGGGAAAAGAACAGGGAGGATCTTGCAGTGCCTGTGCCACATCGTAGCATGGCAACAATGAGCTAGAGCTGAGTGGCGGCTGCCACCGTCCCCACCACCCTCTGCTGGGTCCTCCAAACCCAGTGCAAGTTTTGGTGGCATTCATCATGGGTTTGCATATTTGCTCTTCCTAGAATAAAGAGGATGTAATATTTTAAATGTTTCTCTATATCAAAATATGAAAATGAGGGTCTAAGACATCCCATTTGAATAAAAATAGGAGAAAGTCTACTAACTGCACATGAGCAAAAAGGATGTAGAGTGTGTCTGCGTTAGAAGAATCCAATCCAGCAGCTGCACTCCCTGAGCCCCGACAACCACAGCCCTGGGTGTAGATGGCAGAGCTCAGCACAGACCCACAGGTTCTGGTTACTGTGGCATGGGCATGCACATCCTGCCCATCTGAGACATCCCAGAGTGAGGCAGTGTTACCCTCACTCCTGGCAGAGGCAGGCCTGCCTTAGATGAAGGAGAATCCAGTAAAGGGATGTTAAGAGTGAAGTCAGTGGCTGCTAGTTAGCAGTATTGTCCTTACTGGGGGCCGCCATACAAGTTGACTTTCAGAGAGTGATGGGGCACTCTTAGTGACGACGCAAGAACAAGTGTTACTTAAAACACATGGACACCTTATGTCCTTGGAGCAGTCAAGGACCTTTGGGGGCAAGTATTGTGGTTAGAAAAAGTTGAGGAGCAGCTGTTAGATGAATAGGCTGCACACTGGAGGGGAGCAGGAGGGAGAAAGAAAACAGCCCTGGTTGGCAGGGAGTCACCCGAGCCACTGAGGAGCCTGTGCCCAGCGAGAGGCACAGCAAGAAATCATGAATTCCTTTCAGGTTGCAGATCAGGCTTGTAGATCTGGCTTCATTCAGGGCCAGTTTTCTCAGGGCCTGATACCCCCAGGGGCTCAGAACAACATGGTCACCCGGAGGGCTCCTGAGGCACAACCGCCCAGGTGGCGGTGGTGGTGGCTGCAGTTAGAGCCTTCCGCATCAGACAAAACCTAGTCCGCTGCTTAGTTACTTACTGTGTGGCCTGGAGCAAGCTACTAAAGTCGCTCTGCTTTTGTGGCCTGTAAAATGAGGTGACTAAAATGGACTTCATAGACCTGTGTGAGGATCAAATGATAAAATGCATAAAAAACACTCAGCACAAAGATGGCATATAACAGGCATTCCATGCCTGAGCTGTTAGGACTGTCTGCTCCCCTGTTCTCATGCCCACAAGGCTCTGCTACCTCACCCTGCTCACTGGCACCTTCCTCAACCCGGCCTTCCTGACCCTTCCTCACCTGCCCCAGACAAGCCAAATTAAGAACTGCACCTTGGCCTCTCTCTCACTCTCTATTGCACGGACTGTTTTGCCTGTATACTCCCCATAGTACTAGAAGCTCCTTGTGGACAGAGAATGCATCAAGGGTCCTCAATCTCATTGCCTGTTAGAGTCACCTGGGCCAGGTTCTGGACTAGGCATCAGCACGCTGTCCAGCTCCCAGCTGATGGCAGTGAGGTCGTGCTACTCAGCTGTGCACTGAGGACCAGCCGCATCCACATCACTGCGGCTCCTTAGCAAAACCGTGGACTCCAGAAATTGCAGACCCAGAGGATCAGAATCTGCATTTTAGGTAGATCCCCAGGAATGGAAAGCGCAGGAATGCCAGTGAACTGTGAGTCGACTTCCTTCTACCCCCAGAGCCCAACATAATTCAAACGCCCAGTGGGTGTTCAGTGGGGGTTCACTGATTGACTAATTGACTGAGTGAGTGAAGCCCTGTGTCAATTTCCACTGGGATTTCACACCTACTCCCTCATGTGCTATGAAACAAACAGGCTCAAAAAGTAGACCCATAAAACATTCAGGAATTCAAAAATAGATGCAGACCTAAGGTGATAGAACAAATAGTGGCAAAATGGTGAGGTTTTTAAATGAAATACCTGATGGATTTTTAAAGATTTATTACCACTGGGTTCTGTGCCATTAAACCTCCAAGCACACTAGAATAGAGTTTTGCTTTGTTTTAAGGTTGGTAATTTTGAAAAGGTGGGAAACCAGCATGGCCCCTGGGAGGAATCTGCCCACCGGTCTGGTTTGGGCACAGTCTCTGGGCCTCTGGCCTGCCCCTCCTCCAGGAAGAGAGATCCACTTGCTGGGAGTCCCCCGCCCTGCCAATCCCCTCACCACCCCGGTTCCCTGGGGACAGGGCCTCTGTCTCCCCTCTTCAGGCCCTTCCCCCCCCATCCTCCTACCCTGCATCCCCCAGCCCCGCCTTCCCCGCAGCCGAAGAGCTGCAGCTAACTAGGGGGTCAAACCCAGGCATCAGGCAGCTTATCCAGCCCCACTGGGAGCTTCGTCCCCTGCAGAGTGAGGGGTGTCCCCTGTGTCACACTCCCAGGCCAGGCTAGAGGTTGCAGCGCTCGGGGTCCCTTGCCCCAGCCTCCCTCCGCCTCTCTCCCAGGCTCTCCTCTCCTGTCGTAGCCCCCCTCCCCCGTCGCAGCCTCCTCCCGGTCGCTCCCAGGCTCCGGCCCGGAGATCTCGGAGTGGCGGGAGGGGTGCACTGGCGAAGTGAGAAGCGGGCCTCTGCAGGACCAGGGATGAAGGAGCAAGGGAAACGCCTGGGACCTGGACCTTAGGCGTGGGAGGGAGGAAAGGGAAAGTTCTCAGAAAATTCTTCAGGCACTGCTTCTGGGGGCGGGGGCGGCGAGGAAAGGGGCACGGGTTCCCAATCCCACAGACGCTGCAGCCGTGGAGCAGGGCCTCTAGGCACGCCCTCATCTAGAGCAGCTGCTGCGGAATCCGGAGAGCCTGCAGCACTCGCTGTGCGATTCCGGGCGAGGTTTTTAAGCTCTCTCCCGTTTTCCCCTGTTGTAAACTGAAGATGATGCCTCTCTCTTGGGAGTGGAAGCCCGATGCTGACACACAGTAGGCAGCACTTGGGACCTGTCAGTTCGCCTTCCTTCTCCAGTTGTTGGAAGCACTCCTGCCCCTCTCTCGCCACCCCTCCAGCCCCGCCCCCAGGTGGAAAATACTAGGCCAGGCGCTGTAACCACACCTTTCATTTCATCTTCGCAGCAGCTCTTTTTGGTGAGTACTGTTGCCCCCATTTTGTAAATAAAGCAAGGGATGCTTAGAGAAGTAACTTTTCCAAATGTGCCTCAGCTCCAGGCATAATAGGAACCTAGGTCATCTGATGCCAGCGTCAGCTTTCCTAACTGTTCATAATACGGCTTCCCTTTCTGTACTAAATTTTCTATTTCTGCCATAACAGATGACCACAGACGTAATGGCTGGAAACGGCACCCATTTATCAGCTCACAGTTCTGTAGCCCAGAAGTCCAGGCATGATGTGACTGTGTTCTCTGCTCTTTTCTCCCAAGGCCAAAGCCAGGGTGTCAGTGAGGCCAGTATTTTCATGTGGAACTCAGCCTCCTTCAAGCTCCCGTGGTTCTGGCAGAATTCAGGTCTCTGTGGTCATGGGACTGAGGTCCTCACTTTTCTGCTGGCTGTCAGCTGGAGGCTACTCTTAGATCTCAAGGAATGTCACCCGCATTCCTCGCCGTGTGGCCCCCTCCATCTTTAAAGCCAGCAAAGGAGAACCTCCCTCTGACTGATTCCTCTAATAATTTGAATCGCCTACTTCAGGAAAAGCCCAGTCCTTTCTAACAGCGTGTGATTGGGTCAAGCTCACCCAGATGAACTTCCTTTCTTAAAGTCCGCTCTGCCGTATGACATGCCCCAATCATGGTAGTGAGGATTTCCTGGGGTTCCTCAGGGAGTATGTAGCAAGGGCAGGAATCACGAGACTGTCTTGGAATTCCACCTACTTGCAAATGCCTTCTCTGTCCCCAACGTGTATTCTGGTGTACATTCAAGTGCAACACCTTGAATGCTCCCTGCAAACCCCAGCGGGCCTTGAGGGGATTGGGGCAGCCTATTTATCAACCTGCTTGGAGCACTTTCCTATTAGTACAGTCATATATATTTTCATAGAAGAGTACAACTATCTCCATGTGAGACGTGAGCACGTCCTCTTACTCCATTCCTCTTACTCCAATTTTATCCTGTGTTTCAAAGCTCAGGGAATGTACGTTTTGATCCAGCATGTATGAGAGAGAAAGTAGAAGTTGATATGGACGTTTGTGACCACAAATAGGGAGACTGGGTCTGAGAATAGACTTCCAGCCCAGTGGTCTCTCCAGGAAGCCCTGCTGACCCCCAAGTGAGGCTCCTACCAAGTTGCTGTGGCCCCGACCCCTGACATTCTAGACCATGTCATGACACAGAGTTTTCCTCCCTGTGGGTGGGTGATGTTTGAAATTCTTAATCCAGAGGTCTATCTAAATGGATGTCAGAGTCACTAATGCATCATCTGAAATACAACTTCCTTTGATTTTTGCCTCTTTTGAGTCTTCCTCTACTTGTGTTTTCCTATCAAAGGAATTAAACCTGTCTGCTGGACTTGAAGCTCTGTCTTTTCCAAAAGCTTTCGTTATGTCTCAGCACAGCTTCCCACTCACAGACCCAGGAGAGGATGAAGAGCAGTAAAAGGCTTGATGAGGCTTAATAGGATTTGCTCAAGTCAGTGCCTTTCCCTGGTCCTGCAGAGAGTAGCTAGGAGACAGCTTCCCTGGGTCAGCCACAGCATTCCTCCCTGTCTTTCTTCTACAGACAGTTCTGCAAAAACCCTAGCTTCGAAGAGGCAATGCTAAAATATCGACTATGGGAGGGCTGGCTCTGCATTTATCTTCTTCAGTGCTTTATGTCCAGCTCCTAGCACAGGGGCTTGGTTATAGTAGTTCCTCAGTTAATGTGTGCTGAATGAGTGCATAATTAATAGAACGGATCTTGAAAATCTGATTAAATAACGTCATCTCCATTGTCCCTGAAAATCTTTTTGACGTGATAGGCACATGGCACTGAAGGCCAGGGCTTCGAGGATGGTGATTTTACTTGCCCTTAAAAGAAATCTGAACAGCAGGGGCTCCATGCCACTCAGCTCAATGTTTGCCCTGCAAATTGCACACTGGCCCTTTAGCTACTTGTCTTAGATATTCTCTACCTCTCTTTCTTCATCTTTAAAAGGGGGTTAACAGGATATTGCATTACATTTCAATTTGAGGAGCGATTATGAACACATGGTCATCTATACTTATGCTTGTATTATGTATTTTTTCCATGAGTCCCTACAATTGGCTCCCAGGGCTGGAGAGGCAGAGAATATCATCTGGGATTTATAGCGGAGTAAACTGAGGCAAAGAAAGTTAAGATCGTTTTTTCTTTGGACCACAAAACAGGTTTGTTGGACACTGAGTTCGAATCCAAATGTTACTCTGGGTTGAGCAAGGAATGACGTCTGCCAATGATGCCCGCACACAGGAATGCGTCCCAATGTCACATCAAAAGTAAACTACCTTTCCTATCTCCTGGACGAAAAAGTGTTCATATCTGGGCTGAAGTGTCCTAGAAAACATTTTCCCATTTCTAGTAGAGCACAAAGCCTTCGCTTACAAGAATGTATGCAAGTATGTTTAAAAATAAAGAAGGAAACAGTGCAGAAAATCAGCAGCAAGCTGTTTTCCCCAAAGAGCTGAGCACAGGAGGATGTGAGTTCCCATGTGCCCCAGCTGATGACTCATTCTGTGGGCACTGTGCCTGCTCTGCCCAACCTCAGTGGCCTGGGGAGTCCGCAGCAGCAGCATCCCCATTGGAACCCTATCTCGGTTCCAGCAGCTGGAATGTCCAGAATACACAGAGCCTTGGGACAGCACATTTCTCACCATCTCTGAGCATCTGTGGTCGGGTTTTCAGGATGAAGTCTCCTACTTAAGGCAGAGCAAATTCCTGCTTGGGATTTTGCAAAGAAGCCCCAAGCCTTTTCCTCCTTGTCTCATTTATCTTTGTTAACTGCCACATGAAGGAGCAGGTAACAGGTGGCCCTATGCAGAATGGGAAATGGCCAATGGACATCTGGGACAAATAGCCCTTCAGATGACCCTTCCATATGATGTTTTAAAGGTTACCTTGAAATTGCTACAACCACCCAGGCAGCACAGGACAAGGCCCACCAGGGTCCCCTGACTTCCCAGGACATGTGGAATCTACCTTGGTTTGCCATTGAGGAAGCTGGTTCAGTGGTTGACAGACCTTTTACCAGGTTGTTCTATGCGGACATAGCTTCCTGGTACGGTGTTCTGCCTGGCAGAACCTGCAGCTGGAGTCACCCCCAGAATGGTGGCAGGGGAATGCCTGCAAGGGACTCCTCAAACCCTGCAGAAATGGGGTCAGTTGAGAAGGCACTAAACGCCAAAGCACGTATTAGGGGAATTTACATGGGGAGTGCTGCAGCGGTCCTAATGACTCCTGCATGTCATGAGGTCCTCATGACTCCTGCAGAGCCAAAGAGAGGCTCTGCTTAGCAATGTCTGCAACAAGGGCTCTGGGTTATGGAGTGATTCGGCCTAAGGTCAGACTAATTCCTATATGTTTTGTAACATATTTGATCTTTCAGTTTTCAGGTAACAACCTAAGCGGGGTTTCAGTGCCTGGGAATGTTTCC